TGGACTCGATTGAAATCACCGAATTCCCATGCATCAGAGTCCACCAGAGTTCTGTACTCACAGAGCAGCAAGAACATGTTAAGTATATGAGATGGTGTATTATATGAATCTTCTGTGCTCCTACCATACATACAGCCAGCCATCAAACTTCACTCACAAAGCCCAAGTTCAAAGATAAAATGAGTTTCCAGCCAGATATGGTGGGACATAACTGCAGCTCCTGCAACTTGGGAAGTTGAGGCAGGAGCATGGCAAGTTCAAGGGCAGCCTCAGCAACTTAGTGATGCCCTAAGCAATACTTATACAAGGGTTGTTGTGAAGATTTAATGAGGCTTCTTTACATGTGGTTCTGGGAGTGAATCCAGGGCCTCATACATGCTAAGTGCCACTCTACCACTGAGCTACAAGATGAGGTTATTTTTGAAAAGTGTTCTGCATGGGTCCTGGCACATGGTGAGAGTTGATCTCACTGTCTTTGATCACAGATTAGTTTCCCCACCTGGCTTGGAGACTCCTGCCCTAGGGAGGTCATAAGTCTAAGCCCCTAGGCAAAGGGAGGACTGCCCCAGACAAGCCTGAGGCAGATCAGGAGCTGGGCTAGGTGCCAGCCACAGACAAGGCCTGTCCAGAGCAGGGACCTCTGGGAAACCTTCCTTTCTTGGGCCGGGGTTCTCCATCTCCCTCTCTTGTCTATTCCCCAATCTCCACAGCACATTGCCCCCCAGTTGCCATAATAACAATGCCAGAAGCTACCTGTGGAGTCTGTAACTATTTCCAGACACTGTGCTTTCCAAACATCCATTGGTTTGTTCCCAACAGCTAATTCAGCCCAATTCTTTCTTTTTCAAAGAGCAGAAGTCCAAATACATTCCCTAAAAGGAATTTATTGACTCATATAACTGAAAAGAAAAGACAGAGGACAGACTGATGTCAGGGCTCATAACTGATATCCAAGGGCTCATAATGTAATCAGAAACCTGCCTCTCTCTGTTTCTGTTTCCTTCTTAGTGGATTTATTGACATTCAAATTCTACCCTTATGGTGACAAGATGGCTGCCAACCACTGTAGCAGCCAGCTTAGTTATCACTTTACTTATAGAATAAGAATATTTCCCCCAGTAGTCTAAGAAAAATCCAGGTTGACATTCTAATTGGTTGGCTTTTGGTCTTGCACTCCTCCTAAACCAATCTCTGTGGCCAGGGAATTGGAGACCTCTCATTGGCTAGGACAGAGTCATATACCCACCTCTAGGTCTAGGAAATGGGATCAGGTTTATGGAAATCAAAGGGAATGGGGAGAGGAAAGGAAGATTCCCAAAATGAAAATCAAGAAAGAAGGATAGACACTGGCTGTGGGAACAATTTCTTGAACCCTAGAAGTGAGCTGTTATTATATCCATGTCTAGCTTGAGACTGTTTACCTGTTTACCAACCCTTTTTCATCATCTTTCTAGGCACAGCTGGACTACATTTCCCAGCTTCCTTGCAGTTAGGGAAGGTCATATGACTAAATTCTAGCCAATATAGTGTGAGTGGAAATAATGTCATCACCTCCAGGACTGACCCATAAAAACCTGATTATCATCGACATCCTCTTTCTTCCTCTCCTGGCTTGCTGCAGTGTGGTGACCTTGCAATCAAATTGAAGATGGCAGAGCCACAAAAGGGATGGGGCCTGGGTCTCCATATCACTACCCCACTAAGTTGACAATGGGCTTCCGATTTTACATCACTGAGAAATAAACTGGGATGCCTTTGTACATTTTTGGAGTGACTTTGTTATGACAGTTAAGTTAACCTAACTAATAATTGCAGATGAGCAGAGTGAGGCTCCAAAGGGTGATGTGCCTTGCCCTGGGCCACACAGCCTAACAGAGGTTTAAAGCTGGATTCATTTTTAGACACAGCCCTTTGGCTACAATGACTGACTAAACAAATCCCCAAGAAACCTGCTCAAATACAGGCCATTCTCTGGGAAGGGCACAGCAGTATGTTCCATGGAATCTGGAGAACCACAGGGAGGAGTTCAGTAAAGCCTCTGAGGAAACTGGGTGCCACAAGGCAGCGCCTCTCCCCATCCCTCTCTCTCCCCCATTGGAAGTTTTGTCTCAACTCCCTGTTCCTTGTGCACTTGACTTTCCTTTGCTCTCCTTCTGTCCCACTTGATATGATATTGAGCTGACCCTCTAACTCTGGTCCAAACACCAGTGCCCTCCAGAAACAATCTCTGGCCCAAAGCTTAGGATATCAGCAAGGAGTCAGCTTGGGCCAGCAAACCTTCTCATGGCTGACCTACTCTGGGTCAGGGCCTCCACTGTCTATTTAGCAAGGGTCAGAAATTACATGAGCAGCTCAGGCTGACTCCCAAGAGGCCTTCTTTAGTCCCAGAACTATGTTTGTTTGTTTGTTTGTACCAGGGATTGAACCCAAGGGCACTTAACCACTGAGCTACAACCCTTTTTTATTTTTTGATTTTGAGACAGTCTTGTTAAAGTTGCTTAGGGCCTCACTAAATTGATGAGGCTGGCCTCCAACTTGCAATCCTCCTGCTTCAGCCTCCCTTGACTCTAGGATTATAGGCGTGCACCATTGCACCCAGATGAGGCTGCTCTTTTTGTGTTTTTTGTTTTGTTTGGGATGCTGGGAATTAAAACCAGGGGTGCTCTACCACTGAGCTACATCTCCAGCCCTTTTTTTAAAACTTTATTTTGAGGCATGGTCTTGCTAACTTTTGAGGCTGGCCTCAAATTTTCAACTATCCTAGCTAAGCCTCCTGAGTAGCTGGGATTACAGGTGTGCACCATCATGCCTGGTACTCAGGCTGCTTTTGATTACCTGTAACACCCTCTTCACTAAGTATCCAAATTCTTCTGGGGAAGACCTACCTTTCCTCTGTCTTGGCACATAAAGAAGACAGTCATGGCTGCTCCAGAGAGTGGTACATTCTGTCTCTGTCTGTCCTGTGGGGTAGTTGGGAAGAACTGAGATGGTGTCAGGCCTGAAGCTCTGGGCTCATAGCACCTGGGAAGTGGGGAGGACAGACCTGTCTTTTGGACAGTCTTCCTGTGACCATATTGTTCTTGTCACTAGCTCTTTGTCTAGGTGCGGTCAGAGGGCATAATTGGGGACACACAAGCAACTGGGCAGGTAGTTGGAGTATAAAATGACTGTGTGTGATTTGGTGGAGCTTGGAGGGAGCAGAGCAGGCAGGCATGCTGACAGGTGTGTCAGCCTTCCAGGTGGGGGCCACACTTGCCGGCAACTGTTTGCCTGTCCAGGGGTGGTTTGGAGGTAGGGTGGGGTGGGCTGAAGAAAAGGAAATGGGCCAGCCTGCCAGAGCAAACAATCAGGTCTTCTGGCCCTACCTTCTAGCAAATGCCAACTCACAGCAGAGGGTGGGGTGGAAAGGGAGAGGCTTAGGGTTAAGATCCCCAGGGCTGGCAAAGGGGCACTCAGACCCCAGGATGTATGTGTTTGGAGGGGTAAGAGTATTCCAGCTGCTTGAATGCCTAGGACTCCACATTGTCTGAGACAGAAGTGTCTAGTGGGGAGCTATCTGGCATTGTCCTCAGCCTCATCCTGCCTAACATTATTCCTAGCAACTTACGGATACAATGGGACTTTGTAGACTGTAGGGGGTGGGAGGAGGGAAAGGGACCAGTGGAGATATCCAGAGATATTGGCTTGTGATCCAAAACATCGGGCTGAAAGTGTTTATAGCCAGACAACAAGCCTCAATCCATCTCCATAGCAGCAGACTGATGTGATGTAGACGGCTGGGTGACCCTTGAAAAGTGGCAAAGTGGACCAGCCAGTCCTGACCACAGGTGTGTAGAAAGGGAGAGACATTGGAGGAGAAGCCCAGTCCTATTTCCTGAGCAAAAGCTAGAAACCGGGGTGCACAAGGTCAGACATGGCTAGAACTTGAGGCTTGTAGGTGGAGGCACCAGGAGGGAGGTACAGTTGCTATTATCCAGGAAGACCACTCCTGGAATCAATGATCATGTGCAGCCTTGGTGATCCCAGAGGCTGCAGCTCTGGACAGTGGAGGCCTGCTTGGTGAACTGGGGTGGGGTAAGACTGGATGAGTCTTTCAGGCTGGAGGAGTAAAGATCAGATTGCTCTCTTTGCTCCCCTTTTGGGTTGGGTGGGTGGTTCTGTCTTCCAGCATCATCTTCCTCTGATCTGCACTCCTTCTCCTGGCACTGGGGGTGAGCACTGGAATGGGGGATCCTCTGTGCCCCTACCTCCCTTGATCAGGGTCACTTTCCTCAAGGACCCTGGGCAGAGACTTTGGTCCCACCCCTCAGGTGTCTTTAGGAGCACACACACACACCCATCACCCCAGCAGCTACATTTCCTGCGGGGGCAGAGGGGTGTGCTTGCTTCCCAGGTAACAAGCCTGGTTTTCTCTACCTTCACCTCCACTGATTCATTGTTAGTCTTTCCTTTTGTATGATGAATAACCCGCTCATCGCTGCACATTAGGAGAATAATGAAAGCACAAACATCCTAAGAGGAAACCATCAGGTGGTTTCCTCTGGAGGAGCCCTGGCTTATTCAAGGCTTTTGGGTTCCCTCCAGATTCAGGGTCACACTGTGCTGAATTGGAGTTGGGAAGTAGGACGCCCCTCTATGGACAGCTCCATTTTGCAACACATCCCCGCCTCCACCCCAGGAGAACCGAAAGGAGGTGAATGTGGCAGCTCCTAGATCAGCACTGAGCATTCCCCCAGCTCTGCAAGGACAGGGATGGAGCCCCCACCGCCACACCACTCCCAGGCCACGCGCCCTCAACTGCCCCTGGCTCCGCTCGGGCTCGCCCCGCCAGCGGCCTCAGTGCCCACTTCTGTAGAATGGGCAGGCAGCGGGGCTGGGCGCCCCGGGGCGCGGCAGGCGGGGCCGGAGGCTTGGAGGGGGCCGGAAGGGGTGTGAGTGCGGGGGCGGGTCCCACACCGCCCCGCCCCGGGGAGGGAGCCCGGGGCGCAGCATCCTGGCGCGGGCCTTGGCCGCTGCCGCCACTGCCGTCGGGGAAGGTCCCAGCGCGGACATGGCCTCGCGCGGCGCCCGCCCGGGCTCAAGCCCCCAGCGACCAGTGCAGTAGTTCAGCGAAGAGGCGGCCTGGAGGGCACAGACGGCCGGGCGGGCGGCATGGAGGAGGCGCACCTGCTCCCGGCCGCCGACGTGCTGCGCCACTTCTCGGTGACAGCCGAGGGCGGCTTGAGTCCGGCGCAGGTGACCGGCGCGCGGGAGCGCTACGGCCCCAATGGTGAGCGCGCGGGCCGGGCCGGGGAGCGGGGGCCGCGCGCGCCTCAGTCTCAGACCCCCTGCCCCGCAGCCAGGCGGTGCTCTCCCTCCAAGATCTAGGTCCCCGCGGGCGGGCAGGAAGTGAGGGCTCCGGAAACCTCCGCAGATGCTCTTGGGGCACCCGGCTAGGCTGCGCGGCCACCTTCGAGGGGGTGGGGGCGGGTTCCGGCTTGGGGGACCGATGCCTGCCACCCCCTCCGTTCTGGGTCCTTCCAGGCTTCTTGCTGTGGTGCGGTCCCATCCATTTCTGCAAGCCTTAGCCAGCCTCATTCGCAGTCCAAGCTGGAACCCCGCGCCGCGCTGTGACCCGCGGGTATCATGCAGGTGCAGCAGACACTGAGACCTGCTGGCCGGGAACCGGCCAAGCACTCTGAGGTCCAGCCTCCTAACCGATCCAGGGGTCTCCCCTCAGGGCGCAATAAAACCCTCAAGTAGGTGTAGCTTGTAGGCTAGCTGCCGTGGTGCCCCCACCCCCACCTCCACCCCCAGGTCTTCCTCTTTCTGCAACCCCAAGCGGATGTAGCTGGCAGGAGTCGTTGGGGGCTTTGAACTGCTGGGGCCAGAGACCCATCTTCCTAGGCTGGCCGACTGGAGGTCCCAGAGAGTTGCCAGAGGCTGGGTGACCTGGAGTGGTGTCTGCCCATCTTGGGCACCAAGGGAGCCTTCCTGCTTTTGCAGTTTGCATGGGAGAGAAATGGGTTCTTCCTCATCGCCTTCAAAAGAGTGGGGGATTCTTCTTTTTTTGCTAAGGCAATGGGCAAACGCCTCTTAGTACTATCCAAATGAGGCCCAGCACATCTGGAGGCTCCTGAGGTAGAAGACTTAGAGGTCTCTTGACTGCGTCCCTTCCAGGCAGGACCTGCTACCCTCACAGTACCCTGGGAGAGTGTGAGGGGACCAGAAAGAAAAGTTCCTTCCATCCCCAACGTATTGCCTGAGCCTGTGTAGTTTTGGGATTTGGGGTCTCATCCTTTGGGGTTCCCAGTCAGTTGGAGAGGAGGGTGCTCTGGCCTGTGTCCCTGTGCTCAGGGCTGGCTTGGAAATTACACATTGCTGTCAGAAAGGTTGCTTCGGTTCTGTATTGGTTTATGAAAACCACCTCTTATATAAATATTATCTTTCTGGAGCAGAAATCCTTTTTCAAAAAAATTAGTTGCTATATTTAGTTGAGCTGTGGGAGGAACTGGGGAGATAAATATTATTTAATATCCCCCATTAATGACTTGGCAGGGAGGGTGTCCTTTGCTGCAGGAGAAGAGGATAGCAGGAACTGCCCCCTGGCTCTGGGGTAGGGTGGGAGTCCCTGTAGGCAGGTCTGGGCTTCCATAGCCTTTTGGTATTGCTGTGGTCCAGCTTGGGAATCTTGATTCCCAAGGGAAGCTGGAGATCCAGCCCTCCCTTCCATCTCCAGAATCTCACACATTCTGCCCTTGCATGACCCCACTGGCCAAGGTTCCTGTCCTTTCTGGCTCTCTTGTCTTCAGGGGTCCAGCAGAGGAGGAACTGACAGTGCAGTCCCTAGTCTCCTGGCCCTGTGTAGTTTTGTCTGGGAGAGGAGATCCTGGATTGCTCTGTCCCCTCACCGTCTGTGTGAGGTGATGGGTGTGGTGTATAGATCCACAGGTAGGCGGGTGTGTGTTGATGTGGGTAGGAAAATGGGGACATTGCTAGGTTCCCCTGGTTCCTCTGTACTTTGCTAGTATTAGTAATAAAAGCTGATGCTCACTGAGCCCTTACTATGTGCTAGGCACTGTTCTCAGCACTTTTTCCTCTATCATTTCATTTCTTTCTCCAAACAACTCAGATATAGGGGCTATTGTCATCTTTATTTTAGAAAGGAGGTAACTGAGGCACCAGAAGTTTAAACAACTTGGCAAGATCACACAGGATTGTAGTGGACTTAGCACAGATGCCTACTCCTCTCTGGGCCTCAGTTTACCTAAGTGTAAAAGATCACAGGTTCTGCAGGCTCGGGGACCCTGGTGTGGCAGCATCTATACCAGTCTTGTCCTCAGACCCTGAGAGGCTCAGAGGGCTCTTCCCTCACATCTCTGGTGCTTCTTCCTCAGGAAGCATTTCAGGCCTCTGGAAGTTGTCAGGTGAGCAGAGGGAAGCCAGCTGCCCCTTACTGCCCCGTGCTCCACGGCCTGTGGATGACGCTTGTATGTCCTCTAGGTGCTACCTGCACAGCTTTTGGGAAGGGGCTGATGGGGTTCTGCACCCTGGCTCTGCCCCTTCATAGCTGTGTGACCCCAGACAAGCCCCTGGGCCTTTCTATGCCTTGGTTTCCTCATTGTCACCGAGGCCCCAATAAAACCATCTCTTAGAGTTATTTGTGCGTGTTTAATGAGATCACTTATACCAAGTCATCTGCCTCTGTAGCGGAGGAGGTGGGGCTGGGCTCCTGGCCAGGAGGTGGTTGGTAGGGTACAGGGCCTGTGGGTGGAGGGAACACCCCAGGGACTAGTGTTCCTCCCAGGCGTCTGTGCACCTGCAAGGTCGTTAGCACTGGAAACCACAAGGAAGTCATTTGTTTAAGTCTTAAAGTTTGCAAATTCTGCCAGGGGCTGGGGGAATAGAGCCTGGGGATCCCACCCTCCTACCTCTCCCTTCTCCTCCCTCCTGAGGACAGAAGCCTCAGAACAGGGGGTGGGAGCCTCAGAGGCACAGTCAGTGTGTGTGCCAGCCGTGAGTCCCCTGTGCATACAAAACACCATCTGTCCCAACCTCACAGGAGCTGGTGAGGCCCCAGCAGGGTTTATTTTTTTTTGCAGTACTGGGATTGAACCCAGATGTGCTCTACCTCTGAGCTACATCCCTAGCCCTCTTTAATTTTATTTATTTATTTATTTTTTAAATTTTGAGACAGGGTCTAACTGAGTTGCTAAGGCTGGCCTGGAGTTTGTGATCCTCCTGTCTCAGCCTCCCAAGTAGCTGGGATTACAAGCCTAATACATGCCCGACATAAAATTTTTTTTTAATTAAAATTTGCGTACAGTGGGCTGGGGATATAGTTTAGTTGGTAGAGTGCTTGCCTTGCATGCACAAGGCCCTGGGTTCAATCCCCAGAAAAAAAAATTGCATACAGTATAACCTTCAAAGGGTACAAAAGGTAGACAGTAAAGACATCTGACTCTGTCCCTAACCACCTATCCCAGTGTTCCCAATTCCTGTGTCTCCTTCCCAAAATATTCTGTGCATATATGCATGCACATCTAGGATCTTTTTAAAAATTTCCTGGCTATGCTGGGGATTGGACCCAGGGCCTGGCATGTGCTAGGTGAGCCCCTTAATAAGTACACTAAGTACACCCCATCCCTGGGATTTTTTTTTTTTTTTTTTGCATTAAAGAGAGTGAGTTCTATGTGCCATTTCTACCCTGCTTTCCACTTGACCAGTGCTCTTGGAGGTGGTTCATAAGGGAGCTTTCCTGGGTTCCCAGTGGCTGTACTGGGTTCCGTTGTGGGCCTGTTCCAGTGTTTCTTCATCCCACTTCTGAGAGCCGCTTGCGGTGGTCACAGCCTCTGCTATTACATGCAAAAGATAAAGAATATCCTTGTCCCTCTATCATTTGTGAATAGCCCTGAAGGATAAATTCCTAGAAGTGGAACTGCTGTGTGCGGAGTGTGTTTGCAGTCTGACAGCTGTTGCTACTTTACTGTCCCGAAGGTTGAACCAACCGACCTGCCCATCTGCCACCTGGCCAAAGTGTATAAGGCACTTGTGTAAGTGTGTAACTTGATCTGTGCCAGTCATAGAAAAGTGTCCCCTTGTGGGTTCTGTACTTGGCATTTTTCTATTTACAAGTCAGGCTGGGTATCTTTTTGTACTTTCAGGAGTCATCCAATTTCCTTGTATCTGTGCTCACATCCTTTGCTAGACTGAGGCCAAGGTCAAAGACTGAACTCGGTTGGGCACATCTGCCCCACAACCTTGCTCCTAAAGGCCCTGGAAAGCCCAGGGATCTGAGGGTCAGATTAGATCCCAAGAGATCTCTGGGGGTGGCCCCTGTTCAGGGGAACTTATGGAGAGAGAGTGCCTGGCCTGGACCCTGCCTCCCTGGTCTGCACACTGCCTGTCTGTGCAAAGGGTACAAGGTCCCCAGGGCTGCCGCAGGGTGGGAGCGGTGGCCCAGATTTGGAATCCATCCAGTGGTGTTTTGGCTATGGCCTTATTTCCTGCCATTATCCCAGGCCTCAGTTGGAAACCCATATGCATGAACCCTGGAAATCAGGCCACCAGGAGTAGGGTAAGTGGGACATGAGGGTGACTGCACTGGCCTTACTTGCTGAGTGGCCCCAGGCAGACTTGCCCTTCCTTTGGTCTCGAGATCCCCTAAGGGCCTTGAAGGATCTAACACTGACTCCCAGTGGGAGAAAGTGTGATTCTGCCGCAGGCCAACTGGAAACTCAAGGATTTTCAGGCTTCGCCCTAGTTTTCACACCTACTGGCCCTTGCTGGGCAGCCTTCGTCCCCCATGAGCAATACCAGGCCTTGCCCCACACTGCCACAAGACACATAGGTGTTGAGCAAACCCTTAGCATCCAGCGCCAAGTCAGCCAGGTAGGCCGAGAGCCTCTCTGCAGAACAGGAGCCACTTTCTAAGGCCCCTCAGTGTCCTCTGAGGAGCAGGGCCAGCTTGTCCACTGTAGGTGGACCCTGGAGACAAGGTCAGGGCCAGGTGGGCTGGGCGGGCTCTGACCAGCCAAGGCCTCTCCCTACCTCTGCAAGTGATGATTTGATTGCTTTGTAAATTTACCTTGGAGGAAGCCCTGGGTGAGTGCTCTTCTCTCCCCCTGCCACTGACATTTAGAAGCTGAAATTCCAGTTTTCAGTGTTGTGAGAAGGAAGGAGTTGGGGGATTAGGGAGCAGGTGGTGTGTGGAGCCTGGGGGCAGCCCTGGCTGTACAGCTTCTCCCTGGCTACAGGCTGTGGGCCCAGGCCCTGTTCTGAACCATGGACCAACTGAATAAACAAAGGCTGGGAGGACTTGGTATGGACCAGGAAGACTCATCCTCTCCCTGCCCTGGAGGTGCTCCAGTCTGGGGAGTGGTGAATACTGATGACTGGGCTGGGAAGGCAGGGCCATCAGGTGGGCGAGGAAGGCTTCCTGGAAGGGTTCAGATGAGATAGAGAAGGGTTTTCTGGACAGAAGGTAAAATGCAAGCAAAATATTGGTGGAGGAAAACAGGGAGGTGGTAGCAATCCTGAGGCTTGATGGGTGGCAGAGGGTCCTGCATCTGAAATGTGGACATAATTCTAGAAGGGCAGGTTGGGGGTAGCTCCAAGGTCTGAAAGACCATTCCAAGGTCAATTATTATTATTCTGTAGGCTGCGGACAGCCACTGAAGGTCTATGACAGGGCAGAGGCTGGGTCACTTATTCTTCAGTTTGTTCTGAGTAACTACTATGTGACAGGCACCGTTCTGCTACACTAAACACAGTCCCACTATCATGGAGCTTATGGTCTAATAACCATTGTGCCAGTGGCTGTCACTGTGGGCCATGCACTTTGTGCATGTCATGCAAGCTTCACATAACCTTATAAGGTATCACTGCTACTAGCTGCTGTGTGCTGACGGGAAAAGAGACAGAGCTTTCATGGCCTGCCTGTTGCTATGACAGTACCAAGAGACAGGACAGGACTTGAACTCAAGCCCTCTGGACCATATTCTTTGCTTTAAACCCTGGAGTTTCTCGGATCACCTCCCCACTAGCCCACCCTAAGTCCACAGTCTCATTCTCAGGCTCCTTGGCCCCACAGGGGCATCAACGGACACCAGATCTCTCAGTCTGGCAACAGTGATCCAGAGCAGAGGTAGGTTGGGAGAGGCCCAGATGAGAATAGTAGGGGTCGTGTGCCCCTGCGTCAGCCAGATGGGGATGCAGGAGGAGCAGTACCCCCTTACTGCTTTGCCTTGAGCTGCCCAGCCAATAGCACAGGGGTGAGCAGGGTAGGGCAATCCCCCACTTAGCAAATGCAGCATCTGGCTCAATGGGAACTGGCTCAGCCCCACACCATGCAACTGCGGGTGGTATGGGGGACCCAGCATCTTCCTGAGATGCCTGTGGTGGGGGCATGGGGCTCTCCCAGCCATGGTTTCCTTCTGTGGCTCTGGGACTTGTTCATGTGAGGGGAAAATTGTATCTTTGGATCTTGGTGGAACTGACACTTGAAGCAGACTTGGCCTGGGCTGGCAGGGCCTCGTAGCCCCCACACACCACCTGTGAGAAGAGCAGATCCATTAGGACAATGATTTTGGTTGGGGCTCTGTGGCTGCTTCAGAGGGATAGGCTGGTGATGGGATGACGGCATCCAGTCCAACTATCAGGACACTATCAGGATACCAAATTTTGTTAGGTGATGGCTGGGTGGTAAAGGGACCAGAGGAGGGAAGGCAGGGCAGCCTAGGTGTTAGCACAGGAGGCCCAGAGCAGAGGGTCAAGAGCTAGACTGCTTGGGCTCACTACCTCTCTCTACGCTTCCTGGCTGCATAACAGTTAAGTAGTCACTCAGCCTCTCTGTGCTTTGGTTTTCTGCTCTGTAAAATGGGAACAACAACAGCATCCTCCTTCTCAGGTTGCTTGGGAATCATAAAGGAATAACATGCCCAAGGGGTTAGCACAGTTTCAAGACCCACTGCTTCTGGGTTGCCTGCTGAGCACCTCTTGGCTTGGCCCCCAGTTATCAACCCTTGTATTCCCTGGACGTGAGGTAGGTAAGATCTGGTACACTGCTTGGTAAATGGTAGGAGCTCAGTGAATGTGGCTCCTGATGGTGATGAAGATGATTGTCACAGCAACCCTTCAAGGTGGGTGTGGGTACCCATCCTCCCAGTAAGTGCAGGGCCCCACAGGGAGTCAGCTGCTTCTTCAGGACTGGAACCACTCATGCCACGTGCAGGGATGGGCAGGTTGGCTGAGCCTCCCCAGGTGGGGGTGGAAGGGGAGCCTGGTGGTAAAAGCCAGATCTGAGCCAAGGTAGGTTATTGAAGTAACAACCCCAAAATCTCAGTGGCTGGCTGGGCTCTATGGTGAGCACCTGCAATCTCAGCTGAGCACCTGCCTCTGGGAGGCTGAGGCAGGAGGCTCTCTTGAACCCATGAGTTTGAGACGAATTTGGACAGCATAGCAAGATCCCATCTCTCGTCCTTTCCCCCCCCCCAAACTCACAATCCTCTTGCCTCAGCCTCCAGAGTAGTTGGGCTTATAGGCAGGCACCACTGCACCCCAATAAGATCTCTTAAAACAAAGTATCAAAAAGCCCCTCGATGGTTCATTTCTCACTCTTGCTGATTGCCAGTGGCAGTTTGGTCATCTGGGACTCTGCTTCCTGGCTCTGTGATGAAGATGACCGAGGAGACACCTCTGCACAGGTTGTTGCTGCTGTAGCAGAGGGTCACAGAGCTCCAGACCTGCACTGTCCAGTGCAGCAGCCACCAGCCTTATGTGGCTACTTAAATGAACAAAGCAAAATTTAAAGCATAGTTCCTCAGTTACACCAGCCACAGTTCAATTGCTCAGTAGCTATATGTGGCTGGTGGCTACTGTACTGGACAGGACAGGCAGAGAGAATTTTTGTCATCACAGAACATTTTACTGGATGGTGACCTTTTAGAAAGTCTTGTACCCAAAATCCAACGCTCCAATCTGGAACTAAAACACACTCTTATTTTGCGAACTCACACAGGAGCCGAGAGGTACAGACTTACTATGTGGCCGCAAGGTTGGAAGAACCAGAAATACTTGGGGAACACCATCATTATCTCCAAAGAGTGGATTCTGGGTCATTGTGGGTCAGGGAGCAGGAGAGAAGATTCAGGTGGACAGGTAGAGATCACTTGGGACAGGCAGAGGCATCTCAGAGGGACTAGAGTTGGTATGTGTGACTGTGACATACATCCTAACCTCAGGTCTTGCCCTACCCAGGGTAGATGCACTAAAGAGCATGGCAGCCTGGGAGCTTCATACCTCATAGGGAGGAGTTAGGGAAACAGTAGGAGGGATTCAAGTGAGACTGTCAGATGGACTCTCCCCTTGGTCAAAATCCCTAAAAAGGTGAGGGTTTGGGAGTCTCCTCAGTAGAGCATGTCAAAACCTGGCTGATGCGTGCCAAGAGGTTGGCAGTCTTCTGTTGTGAGACTGGGGCATGGCTGAGATGACCTCTAAAGAACCCTACTGCGTTGGAGAATTGGCCCAGAAACCAAGCCTGGCCCTCCTCCCGCCTTTCCTGTTCGCTTCAGTTAAATAGATCAGAAGGAAAATGTCTGTTTGATTTTAATCTCAACGCAGGACACTGGAGATTACATTTTCCACGGAAAATGTCAGCCGTTGCCTAAAATAGGACTTTAGAGAAAATGCTAGAAAGTGTATTTTTAGGTTATAAGTTTCCCTCCTGGATTCCTGTGGTCCAGTGGGCTGCTTAATACTGTCTATGGTGCAGCTGCCAGGTGCAGACCCCAAACCTTCCAAACAGGTGGTCTGGAGCAAGGATTCCCATAGGAAAAAATACTTATAGACCAAGAACAGGTGGACAGATGCAGGATCCGTTCCATGTGGGACAGGGGCCAGCCAGGGGAAGAGGGCCAGCCAGGAGCCTCAGATCGGCACCACTAACAAGCTCCAGGGTGCTGCTGGCTCTGAGTGGCCAAGGTCACAAGACGGTAGAGATGGGTTAGGCTGCAGCCTGGGAGGAGTGTCAATGGCTTCAGCAGGGACAGGAACTTGGCCCGGGGTTGGGGAGCCCATCAAGAGTCCAGCTCTAGCCCCCCGCACGGCCCCACACAGCCACTCCCTGTGTGCCCAGGCTTCAGCCTTGTCCAAACTCGGACCCTCGATTCTGGTGTGTGTGAAGTAGATCTGGAGCTCCCGCCCTGCCTCCCTTTAGGCTCTTGGGAAGATTCAGGCTTGGGTACGAGTGGCAGCTGGCTCTGGCTGGTACAAAGGGTGTTTGAGGAAATGTAGAAGATTAAAAAAAAAAAAGTGGCAGGTAAAGTGAGGCAGGTGCTTGTGGTGTTTGGAAACAGCATTCTTCAAGATGGCATGTGGGACTGGGCACATGGGGCAGGGCTGAGGGTCCTCCCTGAACAGGTCTAGAGTAGAGGCCTAGGAGGGAGTCAGGGAAGGGTCCCCACTGTCTGGGTCATTGGCAGCTAGAGGGTTGGTCCAGGGGAGGCTGGCTGGGGTGGGGCTCCGAGGGCTGGCTCTGCTCTTCACCTTGATCAGGTGGTTCTGGAAGATCAAGTGGGTCAGAACATGAGGGAGGGGAAGCAGAGCAGTGTTCAGAAGGGGCTCGCTTGTCATGAGGTTGAGTGACATTGACTAGGACTGGGCAGCCAATCAGGGGAAGAGCAACCCAGGGGACCATGGGAACTGCCAATTCTCTGTATGATCCTGGGGTTCCTTGTGTCCTCCAGGCCTCATTTTCCCCTCTGTGAATGGGGGGAGGCCAGAAGGGCCCTTCCTGGCTCTGGTCTCATGCTAAGGTGAGCCAAGCCACACTAGAGCTCACTTAATGTGAGTGGGGTGGGGTTAGAAGGACTTGGGCTCAAGCCATGCTTTCATAGAGGCTGTGCAGACATGTCCAGGCCAGTGTGGTCTGGGCAGCACAGTCGGGAGGGGCTGCCAGACTCCTCAAGACCCCACTACATGACCTCCTCCTCTCTTGTCTCCTCATGCTCCTGTGGCTACCTGGATTCTGCAGAGCTCCCCACCGAGGAAGGTGAGGCCGGGCCTGGGGCATGCTGCCGGGGAGGGGGGGGCAGTGAGGTTGTGGTTTTCCCCTCCCCCAAGAATGAGGCCCTGCTGAGTCCCCAGCATTGCCTGAGCCTCTAGGGGCCTTGGACTCTCCATCTTTGAACTGCAAGGAGAATCGGGGATAGGGGGCCCCTGAAGCCAGCCCTGAATGGGGAGGGCAGTGGGTCAGAGGCTAGGCCTCATGCCACTCTCCTGTTTTCAGGGAAGTCCCTTTGGGAACTGGTGCTGGAGCAGTTCGAGGACCTTCTGGTGCGCATCCTGCTGCTGGCAGCCCTGGTCTCCTTTGTAAGTAAGCCCTGCCTGCCATCCCACAGTGTTGGGAGGGTGAGCTGCGTCCCTGCAGTGCTCAGAAGCTCAGGCTGCAGGCCACAGAGCCTCTGTCCTCTCAGCCATGAGCGCCCCTAATCTGCTCTCTGCCCCCCACCCCCATGTCCCATTTCTGCTTTGGTCGGACTTCAGCTTCTGTTGCCTGAGCCTTTGGACCCTCAGCGCTGGGCCCCTGGCTTCTATCTGCCCTGTCCCCATCCATCTTATGCCCTGCTGTCAGAGTGAGCGTTCAAAATCACTAGCTGACCTCGCCCCTCCCTCAGCCCGGGGTTCCTCAACCTCATCACTGCTCACATTGGGACCAAATAATTCCTGGTGAGGGTGGAGGGATGTCCTGTACATTGTAGGCTGTTTAGTAGCATCCCTGGCCTCTGCCCATCCGATGTCCGTAATAATCAAAAATATCTTCAGATGTTGCTAGATGTCCCCTGGTTGAATGCTGCAGCTCCTTCTAGCACTCTTCAGGCAGATGCTGGCTTTAACCTCCTGCAACCTCCTCCTGGCTGCTGCTTCTCTTTGCATTTCCCTCATTCCTGCTGCCCACACCCCCTTCTAAACGTAGGGCCAGGCCCAGGGTGGACATGTGCGAAGGGACAGTGATCATTGTTTTTGGCTGAATAGCAGGGACTTGGGGCTGGAAAGCAGCCCCCTGATGGTGAACATGGTTTCTGTTCCTGGTCTCACTCCCAATAGGGCCTCGGGGGAGACCTCATCTTGGTGACCTGGAGTGTGGAACAGCAGGGGCACTGGCTGGGACCAGCTCTTCCCCTCTAGTTGTGCCTGGTCCTTGTGGAATATGGCGACTCTTAGAAAAAAAAAAATCTGCACATGGCAGAGCCCCAAGCCTGCTTGCACCCCTTTTACAGCATATATGGCCACACTGAGGCCCAAGTACTTGCTTAGGCCAAGAGGTGGACATGGGACTTGACTGGAGTCTCTGTCCGAGTCTTAGGCTCCAGGGCTGGAAGGATACTCCTCTGGCCAGAGACCTTGAATGGGAGCATGCATCAGAATCACTTGGGCTTGTCAAACAGATTCCTGGACCCGCCCCTGAGCTGTGCCACAGGAGGTCTAGGATAGGCCTGAGCACTGTGTTTCTAACAAGTCCCCTGGGGCTGTGATGAGAAGTGCTGCTCTAGGCAGACAGAAGTCTCTGGCTTACTCCTACCCCTTGAAGGTGGTCCTGGACGGGTGGGAGCTGTGGTGGTCATATCTATGGGATGGGTGTCCAGTACCAAGGCCTTCTCAGAGGATAGCCCCTCTGCAAGCCCAAGACTCCCTGGGGGTATCTCCCCTGAGCAGGGAAAGCAGACAGGACACCCAGGGTACAAAGGACAAGGAGAACAGCTAGCCCCCCAGCATGCTCACCTGGCTCACCAGCTCTGACCCCACAGGTCCTGGCCTGGTTCGAGGAGGGCGAAGAGACCACAACAGCCTTCGTGGAGCCCCTGGTCATCATGCTGATCCTTGTGGCCAACGCGATTGTGGGCGTGTGGCAGGTGAGAGGCACAGGGGAGGGACTAGGCGCAGGGCTCTCCTGGCTGCAAGTTGGGACCTCTACCTGTAGGTCCTCCCACTAGCTCAATCCCAGGTCCCAAGGGCGTCACTCTGAGGGGAGGCCTGCTGGAGGTTCCAGGACAGACCACCTGCCTGTCTATTGTACAGGAACGCAATGCTGAGAGTGCCATCGAGGCCTTAAAGGAGTATGAGCCTGAGATGGGCAAGGTGATCCGCTCAGACCGCAGAGGTGTGCAGAGGATCCGCGCCCGGGACATAGTCCCAGGAGACATTGTGGAAGTAGCAGGTATGCTGGGGCCTCCTCCTGCCTGTACATAACACCAGGGAGCCTTGGCCCTCTCCATGCCTCCATATTTCCAGTTATTTATGTGGATGGGGTGTCTGTCACATCCCTCCAAAGATACTTGGCTGAAGCCTTATTGAGCAGATTGGGTGGCTGCGACCAGAGGGGCAGGGGTCTTCTTGAGGGATCACAACTTGGGCTTCTGACTCAGCCCTGGTCTTGGTTCCTTGGAGCCTTCTTGACTTTCCTGGGGGCTAGGGCTCAACACCACCCTCAGCCAAACCATTCTTCCTGCATAGTGGGAGACAAAGTGCCTGCTGACCTCCGCCTCATCGAGATCAAGTCCACCACGCTGCGAGTGGACCAGTCCATCCTAACGGGTGAGGCTCGGGCTGGGGTTGGAGCGGAGCAAGGGAATGGGCATGTCTCTGAGTGGGGCTTCTCATACTAATTCTACAACCAGGTGAATCCGTGTCCGTGACCAAGCACACAGACGCCATCCCAGACCCTAGAGCTGTGAACCAGGACAAGAAGAACATGCTGTTTTCTGTAAGTTCCTAGGATGCTCAGGGCCTTTGCCTGGATGATGATAATAAAAACAGTCACATTAATGTTAATCAAAGTTCTATTGGAAAGAACCTTCTCAGTTATCAGGAAAGCATGCAAATTTATAACAATAATAGTAGCTTGTGTTTACTGAGGCCTGTGTGCCTGGCACTGTTCCAAACTCTTTGGACACACTAGTTTATTTAATCCACACAACAAACCTTTGAAATAAGGTTATCTGGATCTTGTTATCTGTGTTTTTCCAGAAGGAAACAGTCTCAGAGAGGTTAAGTAAATTGCCCAAGGTTACACAGCCTGAGTGGCAGAGCTGAGTTGTGAACTTAAACATCCTTGCTTCAGACCTTTTCTTCTTTCCTGCTAGGATACCCAGTCTTAACCTGGGGAAGGCAGAGCTTGCCATTAGTCACTCAACAGAAAATCCTCTAGAGGGAAAAGAGTTACAAAAGTAGTGGAGGAGCTAGAAGTATAGTTCAGTGTCAGAGTACTTGCCTAGTATGCACGAAGTCCTGGTTCCATCCCCAACACTGCAAAAAAAAAAAAAAAAAAGGAAAAAAGAAGAAAGAAAAAGAAAATAAAAGTGAAGGATGGTGGGAATGGTCCATTTCTCAGATATAAAAACTGACCCCCCCACCTCAAGGCATGATGCCAAGTACCCTGGCTCTTCTCAGGGACAATGGTAGCTTCAGCTCTGATGAGAGTGGCCTGTCCCTGTGGCCTCCGAGGGAGTTAACAGGTAATACTCACAGCTGTCCAGCAATAGCCTGAAGCCAGCGTGGTGTTTGGTGCCACAAGGAAGGGTCAGACCAGTCGGACAGTGGCCGGGGGCACCCAGTTAATTATAAGGGACTGTACAGTCTCCCTGAAAATGGAGACCGTGATGTTTACGTGGAGCACTTCCTGAGGAGAGTGTCCTGCCCAGTTGCATGGACGCTTAGACAAGATGCTTTGGGTGGGAGGGAAGCTCCTAGAGGTTTTCTCCAGTGTCAGCAGCTGTCACTAGGAAGCTCTCTGAGGGTGGTGTGGCTAACCACAGGCTATTTCCTTAGCTAAGGGGCCTGCACTGCTCAGGGCAGAAGGGAGACGAGGCTACCGCAGCACGTGCCCTCTTGCCAGCCTCCACAGCATGGCCCTTTGAAGGCACACCCAGCAATCAGCTTCCTTATAGCACTGTCTTGTACCTCTGATGAACCATCTTGCAAAAGAGGACGGAGGCATAGAGTTGCCTGTCCCTTACATGGAACTTGGGGATTTTACTGGGGCCTTAGGAATGGATGAACTTAGATTCAGGTTTTCTCCATTCTTCAGTAAATATTTTTGGACTATTTACCTGGAATCATGGTCAGCCACTCTGCTGTGTGGCTATAGTGGTTGTTTATGAATTATGTTATAACGGGTTCAATGGGCTTATACCCAGGCTGTGCTAGTTGATCAGATTGTCAAGCCCAGCCCCAGAGCCACCTCTGTGCCAAACCCTTTGCTAGGCACTGGGGATATGGCAAACCAAATTCCTGCCTTCATAGATCTCAGACTATTATGGAAAGTTAGCAATGCCCCAGTAAATAAGTCTACAGGCACTAGCAGCATAGAGAAAAAGAAAGCCAAGTCAGAGAATGAGAGTCCTCCTCCCGCCCTGAAGAGGTTGGGTTCCTGGCCCTGGCTGGAGGCTGAGCAGCTCTTTCCTTGTCTCTCCTTGGCCAGGGCACCAATATAGCATCAGGCAAGGCAGTGGGTGTGGTGGTGGCCACAGGTCTGCACACGGAGCTGGGCAAGATCCGGAGCCAGATGGCAGCAGTGGAACCTGAGCGGACACCACTGCAGCGCAAGCTGGATGAGTTTGGGCGGCAGCTGTCCCACGCCATCTCTGTCATCTGTGTGGCTGTATGGGTCATCAACATTGGCCACTTTGCTGACCCAGCCCATGGTGGCTCCTGGCTCCGTGGTGCTGTCTACTACTTTAAGATTGCCGTGGCCCTGGCTGTGGCTGCAATCCCCGAGGGCCTCCCAGCAGTCATCACTACGTGCCTGGCACTGGGCACACGGCGCATGGCACGCAAGAATGCCATAGTGCGGAGCCTGCCCTCTGTGGAGACCCTGGGCTGCACCTCAGTCATCTGCTCTGACAAGACGGGCACTCTCACTACCAATCAGATGTCAGTGTGCCGGGTAAGTGGCTGTAGCCAGCTTGGGGTTCCTCAGGTGTTGCTATGAGATCCTGGGCAGCTGGGCTTGCCCCCTCCCCTCCGTTTTGGCAAGGGATAGAGGAGGAAACATGGGCTCTCTCCCCTGTGGGAAGCAGATCCAGGTTCTATGGGGCAAAGCAGATGACTAGTAGGCTGTAGCAGATGATGCCTGCAGGACACATGTCACTGTGGCCTGTGAGTCACTGTGGGGCCCTGGGCAGTCTGTGGACCTCAGTCTCCTCATCTGAAGCTTGGATGTGCAAACCCTGCCAGGTAACCATTAGGAATCCAGGAGAGTGTCAAGTACAACCCTGGTGTCTCAGTCAAGCTGGGTCTGGATCTAGGTTCTATCCTGCTCGATCATGACAGTGTAGTTGATGCCTGTCATTAGATATGCTAGCTCCAGTGACCTAGAAGGACGGGGGCAGGAATTATTCATTCCCTGGCACTTGATCCCACATCTTGGGCCCGCTGTCCACATGCTCCAGGAAAGCTGACTGAGACTCCAAAGGGCAGTGGGCTCCTCCTTACCCAACAGAGAGGTGGGTGGGGAGATGATGAAGGCTATAGATTCCCCACTCTTCCCAGGTTTCCCATCACCCTTCTTCCAACCCTGCCTCTGAAGTCTGTGCACTAGGCCTCAGGAACCCAGGCTCAGTATTTTGAGACCCTAAGGTCCTATAGAAGCTCATCCATCAGAAGGGGCAGGGACTGTGGCAAACTTTACTGCCCTGTGGACCCTGACCTGCTAAGACCCTAGTAGGATTTTATCTGAATAGTGTCTCCCTTGACTGAAATAAAGATTTGAAAAGCCCAGTGTAGGGAAGATATAGAGGCTGGACACACTGGATAATAGGCTTGCTTGCTGGAGGAATGCCCCTAGAACAGAGATAAGAGCAAAAAGGTCATTACTGAGCACCTGCTGCATGCTGGGCTGGCCATTTGATTATGTGCAGTGAGGAAGGCAATCTCCAGGAAACAAGAACTGCCTCCCCAGTGGAACTAGCTAACAGACAAGGAAGCAGGCTTCCCTGGGCAGGAAGAGCACCCTGTTTCTGAGGTGCAGAGATATGGGCCTGCCAGCAGGTCCTGCTGGCAGGGCCTCCCTCTCTGGAGTCACCTCTGGGTTTGGAGGTCTCTGTGTCTCAGAGCAGGGTGTGTGTTTCCTACCCTGAAGGCCAAGAATTCATCCCCTGGAAGAGAAAGGAGCAGCTGCTGGACTCTGAGCCCACTTTTTTCCCCATATTACCATTGCGAAATCAAGGTTCAGGTACTTGACCAGGGATCACACTGTGAGATGAGGAAGGACCCAAATCAGCAGCTGCTCCCAGACACAGAAGAATCAGCCAAAACCCCCTCAGAGTCCACAGCAAATGGCCAGACCAGAGCTGGACATACTTGGGCAGAGTACTCGCCTCAGCTGGGATCCTGTACTTACTACTTCTCTCCGGGGAGGAGGGACAGGCGGCTTTTGGGGTCGGGCATCCAGGGGTCAAGCTTTATTCAAACTGGCTGCTCTGGGAGAAGGGAGGCCATCCAACCGCCTAAGCACTCCTGTGTGCTCCCCAGATGTTCGTTGTAGCCGAAGCGAAAGCGGGCTCCTGCAGTTTGCACGAATTCACCATCTCGGGTACCACGTATACCCCGGAGGGAGAAGTGTGAGTGCACCGGAGAGGGGTGGGCGTGGCCTCCGGTGGGCGGGGCTCACGGAACAGCGCAGAGGTGTCCTTGGGCTTGGCCTTCTGGGGGCGGGGCTAAGGGCACCTCCTAGGGGCGGGGCCACAGCCTTGTACTGACCATCTCTGCTTCGCAGGCGGCAGGGGGAGCAACTTGTTTGCTGCAGCCAGTTCGATGGGTTGGTGGAGCTGGCGACCATCTGTGCACTGTGCAACGACTCAGCGCTGGACTACAACGAGGTGGGCTCCCAGTCCCTTTCCTGACCTCTCTAGTTTCCAGGCGTTCCAGATCTTTTCCCAGAGTCTCAAAGTTCCCAGGGGTGGGTGGTCTTTACCTCTTGGGAGTGTCCCAGGAGCTTAGCCACCCCTGCACATCCCTGCTCCCTCCCTCTGGCTCCGATGCTTCAGAACTCTGTCCCTGGGTTTGGGGGCTGTGGAAGACCGCAGTGTAAGGGTCTGAAGGGCCAGGGATGCCTAGGGGAAGAGGTGAAGGAGGGCAGGGCGTGAAAGGGCATTTAAGGCAAAAGGTACACCCCAGGACAGGCTGCAATGTGATTTAAGCATCGAATGCCATTCGTGTGGCGCAGCTGGGGAATGGAGTGTTAGCAGTGTGCCCCAGCCTGAGGGGAGGTCTTGATCAAGTCAATGCCCATGCCAAGCTGAGGGCATTGGAGAGCCAGCAAAAAGTTTTGAGCAGGGAGTCATGTAGTGAGCCTTGCATTTACTAAAGATCTTCCAGGTTTCTGGGTAAATGATGGTAAAGGCAGGGCAAGATGGGAGCTGGGTGCCCTGTGTCATCTAGGCCAGAGAGATATCAGCTGAACCCTGACTGCAGGCTTAGGGAGAAGGGAGAAGGCATGGGTCAGAGAGAGATTTAGGAACTGAAAATTCTATGACTTGGTTGCTGGGTAGGTGAAAGAGCAGGAAGAAGTCACTGCCAACATAAGGAGAGGAGGAGGTGGCCTGAGGGGACCTCAGGGAACAAGATGCCCTAGGCAGCATGTGGGTGTGTGGGTTTAGAGTTTGCCAGAGAGGTTCTTGACTGGGCCCAGCACTGGCAGTCAGGAGCACTTGAAAGGCAGTGGAAGCAGGAGGCATTTGGGGTCTCAAGGAGAGAAGGTGGGAAGGGAGAAGCAGCACCCAGGCAGCAGGCTTTCAAGACCCAGCAAGGAGAACCTGTTGAAGGAGGTTGAGAAGGAATGGACAGAGACTGGGAAGGCACTGATGCAGGGACTGGGGTGTAAATGTCAATTCCAGACACCATCCCAACCCCACGTCAGGCTGGCTGGGAAGGGCTCACAGGCCTGTGCAAAGACACTTTGGCAAAAGGGTCTCCAGGGGGCAAGGAGGGAGTGGGAAGTGAGGCTGGAAAGCCAAGCTGGGATAGCTGCCCCTCACTCCCTGTCTCCTTGGACCCGGCAGGCCAAGGGCGTGTATGAGAAGGTGGGAGAGGCCACGGAGACAGCTCTGACTTGCCTGGTGGAGAAGATGAATGTGTTTGACACTGACCTGAAGGCCTTGTCCCAGGTGGAGCGAGCTGGGGCCTGCAATGCGGTGAGCAGGGTGGGGGTCTCTGGCCTCCAGCTGCATGGCTGGGGTTTCTGGGTCATCTGGAGAGGAGAAAGAGGAAATCAGAGTCATGGGAGCCTTCTGGGAGGAAGAAGGACCTCAACCTCCTAATAATACTTGGCTCCAAGCAAGGAGAGGGAAGGGATGAATGTGGGCAAGGGTTTGGAGTTGGGAAATGCACATAAGGCCAGGGAGTGGTAAGCTTTTAGAAAGGAAGGTAGGGCCTCAAATGCTATAACCACAGGAGTACAGATACCAGGCCACAGACAGCAAGAGGTGTCTTCTTGGGGCCAAGTGGTTCTTAAGAAGCAGAAATGAGTTGTTGGCTCTGTCCCTCATGCCCTGACCCTCCTGGACTCCGCAGGTCATCAAGCAGCTCATGAGGAAGGAGGTCACCCTCGAGTTCTCCCGGGACCGGAAGTCCATGTCAGTGTACTGCACACCTACCCACCCTGACTCCAAGGCCCAGGGCAGCAAGATGTTTGTGAAGGTAGGGGCCTGTCTCAGGGGCACCTGATTGCCAGTCCTCTGAAGCATCAGAGCCAGTAGCTACAAGAGGTTGAACTAGGGGAGGAAGAGGCCCCTTGTAGAGTGACCATGCTGTGGGGAACTGGGAACAGTATCCAAGCATGATGGGGAGAAACCGGGGCCAAGGGACCAAGGCTGAGGGACCCTGCCTCACCACATGGCCTTAGAGTCATCCATGCTTTTTTGTGGGCCTCAGTTTCCCCTTGCGAACAGCAGGGTCAGGCAGGCAGTTCTTAGAAGACCATTTTGCTTCTGGTGGTTTTGAAGTAGTTGGTACCCTCCCTTGGTGCTCCCCCTCCCCCACATTTTTTTTAATTGGTACATAACGATGGGATTTGTTGTTATGTATTCATACATGCACACAATATAGCAATATAGTTTGGCCAGTATCACTCCCCAGCACTTTCCCCCCTCCTCTATTGTTCTCCTTTGATTTTCATGAGATCCACACCCACCTTTGTTTTCCTTTTTCCTCTCTAGCTTCCGCATAGGAGAGAAGACATATGACCCTTGACCTTCTGAGTTTGACCTATTTCTCTTGATATGATGGTCTCGAGTCCCACCCATTTTCCTGCAAATGCCATAAAATCATTTTATTTAGGGTTGAATAAAACTCCATTGTGTATATACACCACATCCTCTTTTGTCCATTCATCCATTCGTGGACACTTAGGCTGGTTCCGTAGTTTGGCTATTGTGAAGATGCTAGAGGTTTTGGGGACACTGAGTCCCTCAGAGGGAGAGGCACCAGTTACCAGGCAGACCTCCATGCAGAGCACCTCCAGTTGCTGCTTTCCAACCTGAAGTAGGAATCACAGCTGGGACTTCACCCCACGAAGCAGATTTTAACCCTTTGCAAAATCAAAAGACTTCCATCCTGGGAGCCTAGGCTACTTTGAAAAGTTAGCAACCTTTAGAGAGAAGGAGAAGCCATTGAGGGAGCTTTCAGAGACTGTTCCTAGGCCTGGGGTAAGGTCCAAAGTGAGACCCTGAGGTTGCAGAGGAGCCTGTCACCCCTGACCCCAAACACACACCAGCTTCCCAAGCTCACACCCACCACAGCCTCTGCACCTCTCTATTTTGGGTCCCCTGGCTGGGCTCAGGCTGCTTCCCTACTTCCAAGGCCCCTACAGAATTGGTCCCCCAGAGACACCAGGCAGGCAGGGGCATAGTGCCTGCATGGGATGCCATTCCCCCCCACCCTACCCCCAAATGCTGCTACTGGCCTTATCAATTGTGGGCTGGTGGAGGTAGTATACCACCCAGTGGGTGTCTGTGACCTTACCTCCCCATTCCCTTGAGGTTTTCTCACAGTGGGGCCTACTTGGTTTCTACTCAGAGTTATCTAAGAATGGATTCTGTGCATCCTTGGGGGACCTCTCCCCATATCTGGGTCTCCTTTCCTCAGTTGGGCAGGGAGGGGTTGTGGAGCCCTGGCTGACGGAGTTGCCTCACCTCCTCCCTACCTCTGCAGGGGGCTCCTGAGAGTGTAATTGAGCGCTGCAGCTCAGTCCGTGTGGGGAGCCGCACAGCACCCCTGAATACCACCTCCAGGGAGCAGATCCTGGCAAAGATCCGAGATTGGGGCTCAGGCTCAGAGACGCTGCGCTGCCTGGCACTGGCCACCCGGGATGCACCCCCCAGGAAGGAGGACATGCAGCTGGACGACTGCAGCAAGTTTGCTCAGTATGAGGTGGGTGCTGGTGCCATGCGTCTCCCTGTGGTGGCCGGGCAGGTAGCAGGTCAAGAGTGGGCTCAGGTCCAGCTTGCACCTGCTCCCTTCCTACAGACAGACCTGACCTTCGTGGGATGTGTGGGCATGCTGGACCCCCCACGGCCCGAGGTTGCTGCCTGCATCACACGTTGCCACCGAGCCGGCATCCGCGTGGTCATGATCACAGGGGACAACAAAGGCACGGCTGTGGCCATCTGTCGCCGACTTGGCATCTTTGGGGACACAGAGGATGTGGAGGGCAAAGCCTACACAGGCCGCGAATTTGATGACCTCAGCCCAGAGCAGCAGCGCCTTGCCTGCTGCACCGCCCGCTGCTTTGCCCGCGTGGAGCCGGCGCATAAGTCCCGCATCGTGGAAAACCTGCAGTCCTTTAACGAGGTCACTGCCATGGTGAGGTTACTAGGCTGGCGCCAGGGGAGGTTGTTGACTTGATTACAACTGTAATCTAGTTCTTGATCTTATGTTTAACTTCAGTGCTGACTTTGTCCCTGACCTTGACCTTGATTTCTGTCTTTTTTTAATGTGTGTGCCAAGCACTCTCTGCCACTGAGCTACACGCTGGCCCCTCTGACTTCCATCTTAATCTGGTTCTTACTTTGAGCTCCACCCTAATATGGGTTCCAGCCTTGACCAGGACCCAGAACTGATCCCTAACCACCCACCCCACCACACATGCCATGCAATACTTTAATGTTGACTTCAGCATTAATATGGCTTCCAATCTTGACCTTGACAGCAACTCCAAACTTGACTATAATATCACTTCTAATGTGGATGGTAACCTTGACTTGGCCTCTGATTTTGACTTGACCTCTACTGTAATCCTTTTTTTTTTTTCTTTTCTTGAACCTGAATTTAGTATTGACCCTCGCCCTCACTTCAAGTCCAGTCTTCACCTTGACTCCAACACATACATGGCCCTTGACCTGGGTCACAACCTTGGCCCCTGAAGTGCCCTCAACTTTCTCCCTAACTTCAGCTTCATCTTCTACTCTATATCCTACCTGAGTTTCATCCCTGCGCTCATCACGGACTCATCCTCACTCTCTCACCACCTCTTTCTCTTCCCTGACTTTACACTTGATCTCCCCAATTTTGCCATGGTCTCTACCCCTTGCCTTTCCTTTAGCTTCATCCTTCACCCAGTTTCTAAGTTCATTCTTGATGTCATCATTTGTGTTGTCCAGCTGTCTGCTGAATTAAGACCAGTGGGGAGGTGGAGGGAAGTTTCTCAGGTGCTGTGCTCCCTGACCTGGCCCACAGACTGGTGATGGGGTGAATGACGCACCTGCCCTGAAGAAAGCAGAGATCGGCATTGCCATGGGCTCGGGCACAGCTGTGGCCAAGTCAGCTGCAGAGATGGTGCTGTCAGATGACAACTTTGCCTCCATTGTGGCTGCTGTGGAGGAGGGCCGGGCCATCTACAGCAACATGAAGCAATTCATTCGCTACCTCATTTCCTCAAATGTCGGCGAGGTTGTCTGGTGAGGCTCTGCATCCTTCCTTCCATTCCTCTGGAGTAGCTCTGTGTCCCTGAGACTGGGCTACAGGGATTGAGGGACACATGTCCTGGCCTGGTCCTACCCCAGGATGAGGAGAAGCAGGGGCACCTCATCATTCTCCAGAGGCCCTGATGACCTATGTGGACCCCAGGGAGGTACCTGAAGGGTCCCCTGTCATTCTTCCAGCTAGAGTCTCCTTTCTACTTTCGTAGAACTAGTGTCACCTTTGGGCATTAATGTGTCTATGCATGTGCAGGAGTTAATTGGCCTGTGTTTGCACTTAGTGTGAGTGCCTAGTGAGAGGTATGTGTGTGTGTGTGTGTGTGTGTGTGTGTGTGTGTTTCTGCGTGAACGTGTGCTTGTATGCATCTTTGGGCATGAATACAAACAGGATGATCAGGACGTGTGCATCTCACCTGTGACCCACCTTCATTCCTGTCCCCATCCATCATCTTCCCCTTTACACGTGATCTTCTCCCCAACCTTGTCCTTGTCTCCAACTTATGTTCGTATGTGAGAGATGCCCGTGGGGGGTGGTGAGCACATGCTTGGTGGACATGTGGCTTCTGCACCTCTGCATATTGGGGCAGGCAGGTAAGTGTCTGCTTGTGTTGTGGGACTCTAGGTTTTTGCATGTGACTGATGCTTGGCCGTGCGTTGTTTGTGTGTGTGTTTGTGCATGCATGTGTGTGCACATGTATATTTGGCCTCTGGCAGGTTTAAAGAATAGATGTGTCCAGGGTCCAGAGCTGGGACTAGGGGAGGCAGGGCTGGCCTGGGTGTGAGCAGGAGCTGGACCCTCCATCTGGTGGAGGCTGGGCCTGCTGGGGGCTAGAGCCCATGACTCTGGTTCTAGCATCTTCCTCACAGCAATTCTGGGCCTGCCTGAAGCCCTGATCCCCGTGCAGCTGCTCTGGGTGAACCTGGTGACAGATGGCCTACCTGCCACAGCCCTGGGTTTCAACCCACCAGACTTGGACATCATGGAGAAGCTGCCCCGGAATCCTCGTGAGGCCCTCATTAGTGGCTGGCTCTTTTTCCGATATCTGGCTATTGGAGGTGAGCAGGGCCCAAGCCGTAGGTGAGCTTCCTGAGAGCCTGTATTCGTTAGGCTTGCAAACTACAGACAGAGCAATTTGGCAAGCTTACACCAAAAGAAACTCTGAGGGCTTGTGTAAAAAGACTAGAGCACACCTCAGATATAGCTGGATCCAGGCTTCAGACAGTATTATTGTCATATTTTGGCTTTGCCTTGGCTCCATTTCTCAGACAGGCATCCCTCAGTGTGGCAGAATGGCTGCTGCTGCTCTAGCCCTCCTGCTTGCTGTATTACAACCCCAAATTCATCAGAAGAGAGAATTTTTTGATAAAATTCTCAAGCCTGTTCTCATTATCATAAGTTGGGTCACCTGCTTAACTTCTAGCTAATTACTATGACCACCTGGTTGTCATTCAGTGGCCACTGTTGGCATTGAGGGTGGTTCCCTGATGGAAATTCAGGAAATGGCTAGGAAGGGGAAATGGAAGCCAGGAAACTGCCACTACAGCCAGTCTCCTCCCCTCCCTGCAGTGTACGTAGGCCTGGCCACAGTGGCTGCCGCCACCTGGTGGTTCCTGTATGATGCCGAGGGACCTCACATCACCTTCTACCAGCTGGTGAGCAACTGATGGCCAGGAAGCCTGTTGGGTAGACTCAAGGTAGAACTTACCATTTGGGCTGTTGGGAGTTCCATGGGAGAAGGATCCAGAACCCCATGGTTGCCCACCATTGCCCTACCCCACTCCCCTTATTAATCATCCACCACCTAAAGAGCCAAACTCGGAATGACTGGAAACTCAGAGACCCCAAAGGAGACGCTGCTTCCGCTCCCAATGGGAGTTACAGGGTTTACTTCCCCTGAGTGTGTCTGCCCCTGGCACCTGAGCAGGAGGTGGCCCCTCGACCCATATTCCTGGCATCCAGCTGCCCTTGAGGCTATGGGATGAGCCCTCCTGGGCAGTGGAGAGCCTGGTCCCAGGCCCTCGTCCTGAAGGCCAGCAGCCCTCCCTTTCCGCCCACTGCCGAAGCTCAGGTCAGCCTTGGGTGCCTGTGCCCTCTTGGTTCCTGTGGGAGCCAGACTACAGTGAGGAAGATGCCACCTCCTTCCAGCCCTGTCTCTGTGACCTTTCTTTAAAGATCCCAAATCTTCAAGACCCTGCCTTCTACCTCTCTTTGAGCCCCAGCCCCATACATCCAGCTGGATGTCCCTGCAATATCCCACGGGCACTTTGTAAATCCTAAATCAGTTCTTTCACCTTCCCCACATTGGTCCCTCTCTTCCCTCCCTATCTTGGTTGCACTGCCTGCCTGGTCACCCAGCCGGTCACCTGAGAGTCACACCGATCCCTTCCCATGTCCTCCATCAATCAGTGCCCGTTGGCTCTGTACTGCCCTCTCAACAGTTGGAGCTCATCCCTTCAATTAGATGCTTGACCAGGAAATGGCTATTAAGCATCCACTGTGTGCCCCACACAAACTACTAAGCCTTTGGCAGTGATGAGGAGGCAGTTCGTGCAGAGTTTAGTTGGGGGATGGGGGTGGGAAATGAGGGCCATGGAAACAGTTGTTCACATTCAGCAGAGAAAAGATAGGTGGTTGTGAGACTCAGAAGTAGTCAAGTTTAGACCTAAGGGAGAACTTTCAGCTCCAGTTGTTGGGTTTCAAGAGTCTAAAGTCCCGGCTGGGGATGTGGCTCAAGCGGTAGCGCGCTCGCCTGGCGTGCATGCGGCCTGGTTTCGATCCTCAGCACCACATACAAACAAAGATGTTGTGTCTGCCGAAAATTGAAAAATAAATATTAAAAAAATTAAAAAAAAAAAAAGAGTCTAAAGTCCTAGGGTTCCCAGAGGAAGCTGCTAAGAGGCCACAGGGCAGGAGGCATGGAGCCTGGATCACAGCTGCCAGGTTCACACCCTAGGTCACTGCATGCTAGCTCTGTGAGCCTGGGCAGACTGCTTAACCTCTCTGTACCTCATCTGCAAATGGGTAATAATAGTTCCTACCTCATAGGGCTATTGAGGGGGTTAACTGGGTTAATACTTATAAAGTGCTTAGAATGACACCTGGTACACAGTAAGAGCCATGGGTGTTCATTAAGTTAGTGAAACCCAAAGTGCCTTACAGGGTAAGGCAAGGAAGAAAGAGGCAAAGAAGGAGTAGACACAGCAGTGGCTTGTAGAAATGGGCTCGCACAGGGATTCCTGATGTGCTTAGGAAACGGATAGTTCAGCCCGAGCACCTTCCAATGAACCATGTAGGAGTCCACACTGCGAGCCATGACCTGGGCCATAATGTGTGTGTGGCCTGGTCTCACTGGGTAGCATCTAGGAGGTCAGAATGGACAGTGTTTATACCAATGGATTTATTGAAACACCTAGGTATGATCCTGCTGGTATTTTTACCTCCTGTGCAGCTCAAAGCTGTACCTGTTTTTCATGTTCACATAAGTTGTCAGGATCTGGGAGGGTGGGATCTGATGGTGGTGGCACAACTAGCAGGAAGACTTGGTTCTTTTGGCCTCTTGGTCACTGGGTGGGTAGAGCCAGGTTCCAAGTTCAGGACATTTTCTTGGCTATATGATCAGCTCCAAATAAAAGTGAGTCCCCTTGCCTCCAATGTGTGGCTTTGGGAGAAACAATTCCTCTCAAAAAAGAGACAAGATTCTCTATCTCTTGGTTAAAATAAGAACTAGCCAACCCATAGTTTCCTAATTTTCCTTCCTGCATGAGAGAACAGAGCTTCCTTGGCCACTGTCACTCGTGCCGTGGGGGGAAGCGGGCTGCCCTCACTGCACAGGTGGACAGACAGTGCATCCCTTCATGAGTTTCCTTAGGAGGATTGTTTTCACAGCGCCCCATTTTCAAAGCTCTCTGTGTTCAGATTAGACTCCCAGAAGCAGATTTATGTTATCATAGAACTGATCTGTCTGGTGGTTTTTATTTTTTTTTATTTTTTTATTTTATTATTTTTTTTAAAGAGAGAGGGAGAGAGAGAGAGAAAGAGAGAGGGAGAGAGAGAGAGAGAGAATTTTAATATTTATGTTTTAGTTTTCGGTGGACACAACATCTTTGTATCTGGTGCTGAGGATCGAACCCTGGCCGCACGTATGCCAGGCGAGCGCGCTACCGCTTGAGCCACATCCCCAGCCCTCTGGTGATTTTTAAACATTTACACTCATCCCCATGACATGGAAGAGAATGCAATGGAAGTTCTCATGAAGGTTCTCACCTCAGTATCTCATCTCATTAGATGAGCAGCAGGAAAACTGCCCCAGGCTACAGGGGCCAGGGCCACTTCCTTTATCACACCCTGACAGTTTCTTGTTAATTGCACCCATGATTCATGACCCATATCATAAGCAAAAAGCAAGTCTGCTGGAGCTCAATTTCAGTGGCAGAAAGGGAGTGAAGTAGGAAGGGGATTGTCTTGTCATCATTGTTTTTGGTACCAGGGGTGATTAACCACTGATCCACATCCTCATCCCTTTTTATTTTTTTATTTTGAAACAGGGTCTCATTAATTTACTGAGGCTACCCTCAGCCTCTAGAGTCATTGGGAGAACAGGCATGCACCACCACGCCCAGCTGAAACCTTTTTTCTAATAGCACTAAAGAGCTGGGCATGGTGGCCCATGCCTCTGGTCCCAGCTACTCAGGAGGCTGAGTCAGGAGGATCATTTGAACCCATGAATTCAAGACCAGCCTAGGCAACGCAGCAGGACCCTGTCTCAAAAAAAAAGAAAAGAGAAGAAAAAGAATCAGAATCAGAGTAACAGTGAATAAGGCCTGTGTGGCCTGCGTCTTCTATATTCTAAAGGGAAATTTCATTCACCCGTGATTTTGTTGTTTGGTTTTCACATGCTTTTACTTATTCACGGGTCAATTGGTCAATTCCTGCACCTGAGAGACTCAGGGGACTCTGCAGAGCCTTGGGGCAAACCCTGGACCCTCCCACCAACTGCAGGCCCCTGTTGTCCTCCCCGGCCTCATGCGGCTGTTGTGCCTCAGATCTACAGACCCCCTGACAGTGGCCCTCCTTCCTCTGCGTCTCCTTGCAGCACAGTGTAGCCCCATGTTCCCCCCACCGAGAAGCAGCTCTCATGGGGTCCCTGAGTTCACCCTGTGGGAGTGCTCTGCCCACTATTGTCCTCAGGTGTGGCCGAGGGCAGGGGTCAGGGGATGCTTCCCTGTCTACCTGCCCGCTCCTCCCTGACCGCGCCCTGTGCCCTCAGAGGAACTTCCTGAAGTGCTCTGAGGACAACCCGCTCTTCGAGGGCATCGACTGCGAGGTCTTTGAGTCCCGCTTCCCCACTACCATGGCCTTGTCGGTGCTTGTGACCATCGAGATGTGCAATGCCCTCAACAGGTGGGTGGGCACAGGGCTGGAGCTGGGCTGAGGGTCTGGGGGTACCCAGGAGGGGCCCTGAGAATCAGTGAGGCTAGAATTGGGATCTGGGGGACAAAGGAGGCCAAGGCTGGGGTGTGAAGGGAAGTCTGAGTGTGCTAGAGTGGGGGTGGCCCAGCAGGGTCCCCTGCATCCTGGCCTGAGGTGAGTACCCCGTGCCCTTGGCAGCGTCTCGGAGAACCAGTCGCTGCTGCGGATGCCGCCCTGGCTGAATCCCTGGCTGCTGGCGGCCGTGGCCATGTCCATGGCCCTGCACTTCCTCATCCTGCTGGTGCCACCCCTGCCCGTGAGTTGCCCAGTCTGCCTCCTCCCCTCCTTTGGTTCCTGAAGTGATAAGGACCAGTCTTTGGATGTTAGGGGCCCTAGGCTGGGCACTGGGCCTTCCCAGGTCCCTCTGCAGTAGAAGGAGCCCCCTGACTGAGGGGCAAATGTGGAGACCCCTTGCTGATAAAGAGTGTCCCAAGACTGGGGCGGGAGGCAGTCGCAGGGCCTTTTCCAGAGCATGGATGGGCTTAGTCCTGTGGGCGAGAGAGGGGAGGGCACTCTGGCAGAGGAGACTGAGTGGACAAAGACCTGCAGGTGGGACATCAAGGGGTGTCTTAGAAGTGCTCACAGAGAGGCCATTGGTGTCCGGGTGGATGAAGCAGGTGGCTGGCTCGGGCCTGAACCAGATCTCCCTTCTCTCCCCACCAGCTCATTTTCCAGGTGACCCCACTGAGCGGGCACCAGTGGGTGGTGGTGCTCCAGATATCTCTGCCTGTCATCCTGCTTGATGAGGCCCTCAAGTATCTGTCCCGGCATCACATGGATGGTGAGTGGGAGGCCCCAGGCCTTCTGCCCTGCTCGTCCCCAGCCCTTCTCCCTGCCCACCTCTGCTCTTGAGCTGCCATGGCCACCTCAGTGTGGGTGCTTCAGATGGTCCCAGCTCCAGCCTACCTGTCTGTATGGTGAAAGTTTTCTTGGGTCACAAAGTTGAGGACAGGAAGGGGCTCTGGTGGCTGTGACATGAGGTGTGTGGGGGCGTGTTGTGTTGCAGGGGTCTGGCTGGGCTCACAGGGCTGCCAACGGGGACACTGCTGAGGGGCACGCTGCCTTGCTGTCCTCACTCACCACCACCCCACTCACTGCCAGGACACTGTGCCTTCCTTCTGGCCTTGGCCTCTGACCCCTCTGCACTGGCCTGTCTTTATCCAGGCATTCTCAGGACAGTCTCACAGGCCTGGAGTGGGCAGCCGCTGACCAGCTCCCGGACCCCAGACCACACCGGGTTGGCTTCTTTGGTGTCACCTTGTGGGTGGGTGCAAGGGGAGGGTCTGCCTTCAACCAACGATGGAAGACAGAATGACAGGGGTCAGGTGGGGAGGCCCCACATGGAGGAGCAGGCTAGGGGAGGGGCCTGCTCTGGGCACTAGGTCTTTGGGAGCTACTTCTGGCAGGAATGTGTTCCTGCCTTAAGGAAGTGAGATGAGCTATAAATAAATCACATGCTTATCATTCCACAGGGACCAAGGCAATCAATTGGCCTCCATCCCCCCACTGGCCAGTGTGCTGGACACCACAAATAATTTTTCTTCTTTTTTTTGTGCCGGGGACTGAACCCAGGGCTATTTAACCACTGAGCCACATCCCAACCCTTTTTTTGTATTTTATTTAGAAACAGGGTCTTGCTGAGTTGCTTCGGGCCTCGCTAAGTTGCTGAGGCTGGCTTTGAACTCACCATCCTTGTGCCTTGACTTCCCGCCTTGACCTTCTGAGTTGTTGGGATCACAGGCATGCACCATCACTTCCAGCTAAATAATTTGCCTTTTAAGAAGGATCTAGACTTGGGTTGTAGCTGAGTGGTAGAGTGAGTGTGTTACACCTACAAGGTCCCAAGTTCTACCCCCACAGGGTGCCATAAAAAACCTAAACAACAATAAAGTAAAAAGGGCCAAATGAGTCAGCCTCTTCACTCTGGAGAAGCTGGCCTGTTATTATAAGTCTGTCTGGGAAGTGACTGAACCCAAAGCAGGGTCTGTTGGAGTCCCTGAGAGGGATTGGGGAGCTGGACTGGACCACTTTCCCTACCCTTTCCAGCTCAACCCTCTGTGGACACCCCTGGGAGATGCTGAGGAGAAGATGTGTCCCATACCTATGGGGGCCCAAGGCATCCCGGCTCTGGCCAGAGCACAGGAATGTTCTACTAGGAAAATCCTCTTGCCAACCCTGAGCTCACTAACTCACCTTCAAAGCCAGGCCTCCCAGGCACACGGGCAGCTTGGATGGCTCCTTTGTCCTCATCAAGAGATTTCCCCAGTGGCTACAACTGCTGAGGAGTGTAGCAAGTTTTCTTGAGAAAACTTAAAAATGAGAAAATTCTGTCCAGGGATAAAATTCCTCAGCCAGTGTCATGAGGAGCCCGTGTCATGGGTGCCCCTTAGCATTGGCTGCTGGGTAAGGAGGGTTCCTAGGCCCAGTGGAAGTGGGAGAGGGAGCCCAGGATGGGGGCAGGAGGGAGCTATTCCTGCCTGCCTGGGGTTCAGGCTTAAAACAGAGGTTTAAAAGGACAGGACAACCTGGTGAGGCAGGGGCTGGGGGTGTGTCTTATGGGGCTGGTGCCTGGAGTTCAGGGAGAGAGGTGAGGCCCAGAGGGCAGCAATATCCCTGAGTGTCACGGTGAGGGCCTGAACAGTATCCTTAGGGCAATGGGGAGCCATAAGGGGGTTGCAAGCTTAGGAGGGCCTGTGGCAACCATGGCAGACACGTAGAGGGGGACTGGAAGGCTGTAATCAGGGAGATTGTGGAGTGCTGAGCTGCACCCAGGGAAGGGAGCTGGTCTCAAGCAAGATCTTTCCTCCACCTTTCCCCACCCCCCAGTACCAGGGATTGAACCCAGCGGCACTTAACCACTGAGCCACATCCCCAGCCCTTTTTTATATTTTATTTAGAGGCAGGGTCTCACTGAGTTGCTTAGGACCGTGCTAATTTGCTGAGGATGGCTTTGAACTCACCATCCTCCTGCCTCGGCTTCCCAAGCCACTGAGATCACAAGCATGCACCACCACACCTGGTTTCCCTCCACCTTAAACCAGAGACGTTAACTGTGGTCCCCCTGAAATTTTACTTGAAAGGGCAGTGACTTTGGGGCTGGGGGGAGGGACCCAGGGTGGGTACCTGAGGCCACTTCTGGAGGTGGGGTAGAGGAATACGCTTGCTAGAAGCCTGGACAGCTCTTCCCTGGGCATGCAGGCGGGCAGCTGCTGTCCCTTGAGACTCCTAAAGCCGGATGGAGTGGGGGTGAGAGAGGGGACCCTTTACATTCCCAAGCCAGCCAAGTGGCCTTTTAGGGAAGTTTTGCTGAGGCTTGATGCCTGTGGCTTCCCCATGATTTATGAAGGATGTGTACTGGGGGAATTGTGGATGCAGGGTCAGCTCTAGGGTGTTGGGATGGGGGTCCTCTTGTTTCACCTCCTGGCTCTGTCCAGGTGTGGCTGGTCAGCTGTCAGGGGAGGCCTGTGCTGGGCTATGAGGAAGGAAGGAAGGATGGAGAGGCCAAGTGAGGACAGATCTGGGAGAGTCCTGAGTACAAGATAGGCTTGGACTTTATTCTGGGGACCGTGGGGAGCCATGAAAGGGAATGGGCTGCTTTGGATTTTTGCTGGTTGCCTGTGGCTGGAAGTGGATGGTGAGGGGAGATGGGGCTAGGGGCTGGGACAGGGCTTGAGGTCTTCAGGCCCTGGTGACGAATAGTGGAGGAAGACTTATAACTCAGTGATTTAGTCGAAATCCAGCTGAGGTATGTGTGATGGGGAGGAGACAAGGATGACCCCCGTTTCTAAACATCAATGAGGGTAGGGGGTTCCCCAGACTACAAAACATGAGGACCTTTCACTGGGTGGTTGGGGGCATTGACGGAGTATGTGCAGTGCAGGAGGCCTGGGGGGACCCCAGGGGAAAGTGTCCAGGCCGCAGCTGGATTCTTGGGGATGCAGCTGAGGAGAGCTGACAGACTAAGGCTAGACCAGGATCCTGAGGAAGGATGACTATGGTGAGGGGGTGGGGAGGTGGGGGGTGGCGCTCTCTCCAGAAAAATGGAGAGTGGAAGGGGCCCAGGAAGGATCTGGAAGGCGCCGGGCTGGATGTGTACTTTCACACATGTATCTTAACATGATCTCTGTTTTTTCTTCCAGAAATAAAGGACCAGAAGTGAGTGCAGGGATCAGAGCAGAGTCTCCAGTGTGTACCTCAGACTGATGGTGCCCAAGCATTTGTCCCACTCCCACCCCTGCCACCATGCTCACCCACCTGCCCACTGGGCCCTGCTGGACACGCAACAGTCCTGAGGCCAGAACAGTCACACCCAGGTCCAGTCCTGGGGTCCCTGTCCCCACTGCCATCTGACCTGGGGGGCTGTGTAGTTCATGTCTTTTGAACTCTCTTGGGAAGATCCCTTGCTGAAACTCTGGCCCAGGAGCTGAGCCTGGGAGGCGGGCTGCGGGAAGCCAGAGCTGGCAGTAGATCTGGAGCTGCAGAGCCCCTGGACCTGCATATCTACCAGCACATACTGGAGCCTGCACCCCTTGCATGGAGGCTGGGCCTCTACTTGGTGACCCGTGCCTCTGCACTGACGGAAAACACCGGCTCTGACCTCTCAGTCAGTGCCTGGTCTGGAACCTGATCAGCTCCACGGAGGGGTATCAGAGGGGGCCATCTGGGCCCAGCTGTGTACAGCGAGGCGGGAGGCCTCCACCAAGTTGGCTCCTGAGAGCTGGAGTGTTTCTGTTTATATGTGCAGGCCCCAGGGGGTTGAAACGTCAGAGAGAAAGGAACACAAAGGGCAGGGAGGAGGGGCGAGGCAGAACCCTCTTTGCCTGGGGGAGACACTGGGCTGCTTGCCTCAGCTCAGCTCCCTTTCCAAACTCAGGTTTCCCTGTCCTCAGCAAATGACTGGGTGGTGCCTGGTCCACCAAGCAGAGGTCAGATTTGCTATCCATATCCCTAGTGCCTGAGACCCCCAGATGTCCTTAGGTCCCTGACCACTATACTGTCCCATCCTGTCTGGTGTGCAGCCATCTCTGCACAGCTGGCTGATTCTGAGTCTCCTGGACCCTTGGCCTCACTTTTTGCCCATTCCCTCCATTCACACGCATCCATGAGCCAAAAAGATGTCACTAAGGATGGCTGTCATCCAAGGGCACTTACCCCCTCTTCCCTCTTCTCATTGGAAGAATGCATCTCTCTGTGGGTCTCCTGTCAGATGGTAGGAAGACAGCAGTTTGATTGACAGGAATTTCCTCTTACTCAGCTTTTGTTCCTTTGGCAAAAACTAGCTAGGCATAGCAGAAAATAGCAAGTAAAGAACTGTCTATATGTCTTCTCCCCTTCTTGAGAATGTACCAAGTGATGATTTTACATGTAAATCAAGACTCACATCCCTGTCCTGGTCCCCAGAATTTCCCCCTCCACCTGCCTCATAGTTTAATGGTCTCCTCATTCTGCAGCCCCTTCCCTCAAGCTTCCTCCCACCCTCTTGCAGTTTCTGGAAGGGCCCTGAGAGAAACGAGTTGGGGGTGCTCTGGCAGGGGCAGGGCCCTGTACCTACCTGCTGACATGCTGCCTGGTAGAGAAATAAAAGTGGTGTGCCTGGGGCAGTGGAGGGTAGCCAGTGTCTGTTTTCTGGAGTGTGGGCCCTGGGGTCCACCGCTCCATCCCTCAGCAAAGCAAAGGTCTGAAGCTCCTGCATCAGCCAGAAGTTGTCTCTTCCAAGACAAGGCTTTGGAGAGGCACTGAATTCCAAAACCACATCTCATGACAGATGGAGGTTGTGGCGAATCCTCAAACTTGCTTCTCCTGTGGACAGCACTTGACAGTTTGAACACATTCAAAGGCCTTTTAAGAATGTTATGATCTACATGTCACTCCCAGCATGTCACCAAAGCCCTGAGGCAGGGTTAAGTCTGGAACCTGAATATTGAGAGCCTCTTGCACATCATAGAGGCTCCCTCATCCCTGGCAGTTTTGTAGGTCTGACACTCCCTGAAAAGTCCCATGACTCTCTTGCTCTGTTTCCCTCCCTTCAAGCCTTAGGATCCCATTCATCCATGGTGCTAAGCCCTGTTCAAATGTGTCTCCCATCTCCCCAAGGCTTCCCTCAGATCACAGGACCCTGAGGCCTCTGTGGCTGCTTGAGATGACCTAACCTGCCCAGGTGGCCCTGGCTTTCTGGGAGCAGGGCTCTTGAAAGGGACTAGCCATGTCCGTTGTTTCTTTGAGCTGGAGGGAAGACATATCACTAAGGTTTGGTATCTAATCCTCAGCTCACCTGAGAAGGACACTCAGGCCCTGCCAATGAGACCAGAGGCAGGACCCACTATACAATTTGCAGGGCCCGTCACAAAATGCAAACATGGATCCCCTTATTCAAAAATGAAGAATTACAGTGACATCAGAATATTACGCCAAGTGCCAAACCTTTCTGTTTCTGAGCATAGGCCTAATGCAGTTGTAGAGGCTGCATGTCCATGACTGGAAAAGACAGACATGCCTTTAGTGGCTTCTAGGTTTTTTTCCAGGGAGTGAGGATGGGTGAAAGAAGTCTTTCCACAAGGGCCATCTATAGGACCTCTTAGACACAAAACCCTTTTCATACTCCTCATCTCCCAGGGTCTTCAGCAGGCCTGTGAATTGAGCCAAGAGGTGTTACGACTCCATTTGAACTCTGAGGAAACCAAGGCCCAGAAAGGTGATGTCTTGCCCAAGGCCTTTTGAGGACCTGACCATTGTGGCAGACAGGCAGGGTGTGGGGCTAAGTCAGGCTGAGGGGATTTTTGTTGTGCCAGCTACAACCTTCCCAGAAGCCTCTGGGGCTCCATAGCTAAGCCTACATTGCCTCCACCCCCACCCAGGCCTGCTCAAGTCCAGCTCTATCCAGCCCACAGCATGGAGTCCGCAGGCCAAGATGGGGCGGCCAAGGTAAACAGAGAGGTTTCCTTACCTCGCAGCTGCTCACCCAGGAGGGAATTCCAGGGCAAGCCCTGGCACACTCCTCTCTGGCAGCTGCTAAAATGCCCCTGGGTTCCTCTGCCCCTCCAGAGACCAGAACTTCATGCTCCCCAGGCCCCCCATCCTCCACCCCTCACAGTGGAGGGAGAGACCATGTTGGAGCTGTGTTAGGAGAAATGGGGGAGAAACCCAGAGACAGGGAAGAGAAAGGAAGACGTGTCCCTAAAGACCTGGCTTGGGTGTCTGTCACATCTTTTCTCATTATAGGGCCCAAAAGTTCACCTGTGATATGTCCACACAACAGAGTACTCCTCAACAGCAAAAGGAAACAAATTACCGATAGATTAACAGCAGGAAGGAAACTTAAAATCACTGTTGAGTAAATATAAGCCAAAAAAAAAAAAAAAAGAGCTCATCCTATGTGATTCCACTCCACTTCTTCTACAAAGTTCTAGAAAAGACAGGACAAATCTGCAGTGACAAAGCAGATCTGTGACTGCCTCGGCCTGGGTGCTTGGGAAAGATTGACTGCAAAGGGGCAGGAGGGAACCTTCTAGAAATGATGTATTGCAGGAATGGGGAGAGGAAGCTCCACGCATTTGTCAGAGCTCATCAAACCCTGTGTCTAAAATGGGTACATTTTATTATATGTGAATTATACCGCTACTTAATTTGATTTAAAATACATGAATAAATTAAAAGATAGGAGCTGGAGAGGCAGGTTGGTGTGTGTCCCGCATGGGGATGCTGGGGCGTCCAGTGGAGCTGGGGAGGAGATGGAGACTCCTGAGTGAAGTGGAGGAGACCTCAGCCAGCCCCAGGGGCTCCTTTCTTTCAGCAACTAGAAGAGTCTGGGACCCAAGGGGAAACAGCCCTGAGGGATGGAGAACAAACAGGGTCCTTGAGCACTGGGCAAGATGGCTCCCAGCCTGGTCATGGCCCACACATAGTAAGGGGAGCGGCTGTACAAGTCCCAACGATGGGGAGAAGCCAACCCTGGGGGCCACAGCTGTGCCCCAGGCCTCCACATAGATGACTGCCTTCCTGCCGCCTCCCCTTGATAGTCTGTTAGGCTGCCCCAGGTCTCTGCTCAGTGCTGTTGAGAGGCTGCTTGGAACTGTGGAACCCAGGACAGCCAGGCAGGCCTGACGGCATGAGAGTTGGACTAAGGTATTGGGACCCTTGGGACCCTGGGTGGCTAAGGAGAACAACTGGAGCCTGGTGCACACCCTCTTGAGGGTTCAGGCTGGCCTCCAGACCTGGGCAGTGGCTCCAGGATGGGCACCGGCCCCCTCCATGCTCCACAGAGCCGCTAAATTTAGCCAGGCAGGGGAGGCCATCCTGGGGCCGAGTGCTTGGCAGCAGGGTTTTGTCTCCCTACAAGGCCCGGCCCAGTACCCGAGACGGCCACCCGGCCTTTGGGCTTATAAGGCAGGCTTGGCGGATCTTAAGTGCTGGAGTCTTTAAGTGGCTCTGGGCCAAGCCCTCAGACTTTGGGGAACCTCCTCTTCACTCACCAGCAGACATGGAAACTACTTGTTCTGTGACCTTGGGCCAGGGACTCAACTGCATCTGTAAAATGGGGATTCTGGTACCTATCTCTTAAGTCTGTGATAGAAAACCCTGCTTAGTGTGTGAAATTCTAACCTCTGCCCACCCACCCTCCCCATAATGCCCAGAACAAACACAGGTGTCTGTCCCTGAAGGTGCTGGATGGAATTGTGGCCAAGGGTGAGAAAGATGCTCCCCCCTGAGCATCATTTGCAAAATTAGGCATGAGATAAACATGGACCCCATCAGCTGGCTGTCTTACTCTCTCTTAGCAAGAAAAGAAATTTAGGTTTTTGATCACAGTTTTTGGATTTGCTAATTTCTCCAAATGAGCTTGTCTTCCATGACAGTCTTCTTTTGAAGGTCAGCGCCAATGCCCAGGCTGTAACAGAAGCACATGTGTGCAGGATGTGGTTCTTGCTGTCCGTCTGTCCATCTCCAAGCCTGGCTCCTTAGAAAAGGAGGAGGGAAGGAAGAGGAGGAATAAGAGAAAGAAGAGGAGAAAAATGAGGGGGAGGAGGAGA